TGCTGATTTTTTTTTTTAAGTCTGCATGTTCTGTCAAATACCAAGAGGAGTGTGTTGAATTCTCCCCCTATAATTGTGGGTTTCTCTTTTTTCCTTTAGGTCTATCAGTTTGTATTGTATATGTATTTAGTATATGTAATTAGGATACATAGAAATTTAGAATTATGAACTAAATGATAATTGTTTTGATTATTCCATTTACTCTCTAGTTCTGCTTCTAACCAGCCTTAGTCTGTTTTTACTTATATTAAAATGGCCACATCAGCTCTTTTGTAGTGTTTGCATGATCTTTTTCCATCCTTTTACTTTCAACTTCTCTGTGTCCTCATTGAAGGTATGTTTCTCGTAAGTAGTATATACTTGTTGGCTTTCTTCCCCCCTAAATCCAGTCTAGCATTTTTTGTTTGTTTTAAAATAATTGGAATATTTGTTCCTACCCTTTTCTCCATTTTCCCCATCTTTTCTGTGTTCATTTTTTTCTACTTTCTTTCTTTGGGATTAAAGTATTTTTTATTATACCGTTTCACTCCTAATACTCTTTTTAACAGTTATCTTAGGGATTCCAGCATATACCTTTGACTCATTAGAGTCTACTTTGAATCAGTCCCTCTTAACACTTCCTGGACATTTAAATTTCCCACATATTTATACTATAGCACTCCTCATTTCTTCCTGCTTTACCACACTTCCACCTGGAATCTTTTTCCTTCTGCCCAAATAACTTCCTTTAGAGAGACAGGGTGTGGGGGGGAGATAAAGAGGAGGGGGTGTTAGTGTATCTTCTATTAATGGATTCTCTCAAATTTTGCTTGACTTAAAATATCTTTTATTTCACTTTCATTTTTTGAAAGATATTTTCACTAAACATAGTACACTTGACCCTTGAACAACTTGGGGGTTAGGGATGCTGACCCTCCCCGCAGTGGAATATCCAGATATAACTACAGTGGGCCCTCTGTATCCACAGTTTCACATCTGCAGATTCAGCCAACTGTGGATTGTGTAGTACTGTAGTATGTATTTATGGGGAAAAATCTGGGTAAAAGTGGACCTGTGCAGTTCAAGCACATGTTGTTCAGAGGTCAACTGTATTCTGAACTGGAGTTATTTTCTTTCAGCACTTTAAAAATATCATCCCACTGCCCTCTGACTTTCATTGTTTCTGTTGGAAAATTAGCGTAATGTTGCCCCTTTAAGGGCGTGATTCTTTTTCTGACTACTTATAAAACCTTTTTCTTTTTGGATCCCAGCAGTTTCACTATAATGCGTCTGTGTAGTTTTCTTTATATTTATCCTTCTAAGGTTTGTAGCGTTTATGGATTTTGTCATTTGATGTTTTTAATCAGTTTTAGAAAATCTCAGCCACTGGGAATTCCATGGTGGTCTAGTAGCTAGGACTCTGCACCCTCACTGCCGAGGGCCCAGGTTCAATCCCTGGTCGGGAAGTAAAATCCCACAAGCCGGCCAGCGCGGCCAAAAAAAAGAAAAGGAAGAAAAGAGAAGGAAAAATTCAGCATAGAAAAACTCAGCCACTATTTCTTTTTTCTTTTTTCAAAAATTTTTATTGGAGTATAATTGATTTACAATGTTGTGTTAGTTTCAGGGGTACACTGTTTCTTAAAATACACTGAATAGTGCAGTTTCTTTCTCCTCTCGCTCTGTGACTCCAGTTACCTGAAAGTTCTACCTTTTCACCACACCTCATATAGCTCTTATGCTCATTTCTGTGTTTTCCATTCTTTTTCCTCTCTTTAGTTGAATCCGAATAGTTTCTACTCTATTTCAGTTCCCTAATCTTCTGTTTTGCAGTTTCTAATCTGCCCCAGGATCCATCCATTGTATTTACAAATACTGTGTTTTTAGGTCCTAGAATTTCCATGTGAATTAAAAAAAAAATTATTCTGTAGTTTTCTAATAAAATTCTCCATCCTCTGTTTTAATGGAATATATAAATTATAATTATTTTAAAGGCCATGTCTGTTACCTCCAACTTTGTCTCTCTAGTTTGGCAAGACAACCAAAGTACTACTACTTTTTGCCTGGTTTCTCAGAATCTGGTCCCACTCATACGTGGTTTAAGGATTCGCAGTAGCTCTGGGGAAAATTGCAGGCAGAATTTCAAACCTACTTCTCTACTGTTCCCTTCTCCAGGATTTTTGACCCCTTGTGCCTTGGCCCAAATTCCAATCCCTCTCTCCTCAGTCTCTTGAAACTACCTTGAAACCCCAAGTTCAGAACCCCTAATATGGGGCTTACTGTAGTGTATTCTCCTTTTCTCTGGAATCTTGGCCTCTCAAATCTTGGCTGCCTGGTTGCTCTCCAATGCCTTCTTTCTTTTGCATATTTTCCTGCTTTTATAGCTAGCTGTTCTAGGCAGACGGTTAGACAGTGCTTGTTACTTGGCCATAGCTACAGACGTGTAAAATGTATATATGTTTTAGATCAAGATGTAGTTTTATGTTTTCCCTTTTTTTAAACTTAGCATTATATCTTGGGCATTTCTTCCTATCAGTTAAAAAGTTCTTCAAAATTCTCACTTTATTTTTTTTTAAATATTTATTTATTTATTTGGTTGCATGGGGTCTTAGTTGCAGCAGGCAGCCTCCTTAGTTGCGGCTCACAGACTCTTTAGTTGCAGCACGTGGGCTCCTTAGTTGCGGCGGGTGGGCTCCTTAGTTGCAGTTCCAGGGCTCCTTAGTTGCGTCTTTCAGGCACCTTAGTGGTGGCACATGGACTCTTTAGTTGTGGCATACATGTGGGATCTAATTCTCTGACCAGGGATTGACTGTGGGCCCCCTGCGTTGGGAATGCAGAGTCTTATCCACTGTGCCACCAGGGAAGTCCCCCAAATCCTCACTTTTAATTATTGCATATTATTATGTAATGTGGCTGTAACATCATATATTTAATCATTCCCTGTTGTATATTTATTTTGTTTAAAAGCTTTTACTGTAATAACTTTGCTTCAGTGAACATCTTTTTACATAGCCAGAGATGCAGCCAAGGTAGAATTACTGTGACAAAAGGATGTGAATGTTTTAAAGTATGTATTGCCAAAATGCTTAATGAGTAAGAGGTGCAATTGTATATTTTTATTAACATCATCAACAAAAAGAATTAAAATTTTTGGATTACCCTTTTAATGATCCTTTTCTCTTTATGAAAATAGTATGTGTTAATTATAATAATATTTAGAAAACACAGATAAGTGATGCTAAAGAAATAAGTTATCCATAGTCTTACCACCTAGAGTCAGACAGTGATCAGCAACATGTAACATGCTCATTGCCAGTCTTGTGTGTATGGAATCATGCTGTACATGCTCTTTTTCAGTAGGAGTATCTTGAACATCGTAGGATGTTATGTATTTCTTCTACAATGATTTTCAAATTATTTCAAATAATTGCAAAGCAGTTCATTCTTTTTGTTTTCTTTTTCTGTTTTTTATTCTTCATCTTCCAGACCTCTTCCTATGCCAAAGCCGCCACCCGGGGAGCATTGTGAAAGTGAGGAGGACACAGAGTATATGACTCCTTCCTCTAGGCCTGTGGGACTTCAAAAGCCAGAAGTGAAGTGGCCTCTGGAGACAACCCAGAGTTCACGGTAGGTTCACAACAATCCTATTTGGGAATTCAGTTGACACCAACTCACCTGTTTGGCTTGCTGCCTGCACATAGCATTACCCAGCCAGAAATGAAGCAGAAAGATGTGTGTAACCTCTAATGTTTTAAGCTTCTTGCAGCTGTAAGCATTTCCACTTAATGTTTCTTCAACATCACAGTAATTTCAAAAACATACACAGCTACTACTAGTAACAAGAGTCAAACTTTTTACTAGTGATGCTGGCAAGAGGAGAATGGAGATTCTTGATAGAATCAGGGTCTAGAGAAGTTGTGAATAGGTATATCTTAATAAGTTTGCAGATAACAGAGTTCTGTTTCTGAAGATCATTATGCCACTTTCCTTCTGGTCCAGAGCCTGTGATTGTAACCAGCAGATCGATAGTTGTACATACGAAGCAATGTATAATATTCAGTCCCAGGCGGCACCGTCTGTCACAGAGAGCGGCACCTTTGGTGAGTAGTCGTTCTGCTGCTTTAACAATCATTGATGTGCCGGAGGAATGAGCCTGTAATGTTTGGCCAATGAGAACTTGACCTAAGCGGAATATTCGTAAATAATTTTCTTTGCAAAGTATCTTTGATCTATGGCAGTAAACCCACCTCCTCTGTTTTATTTCCCATTTACACAGCTAGTTCCTTTTGTGTTTTTCATCCTTCTAGGGCCTGGAGGCCTTTGTGTTATATGGCCTGGATCGGCAGTGCTGACAGCTAGCTCCCTCTTATTCCCATTGCTTTTCAACACTGATGAAATTCTTGTGTGTGTGGGTGGTGAATACTCAATTCCCATACTAACTAGCTTACCAAGTTGAAAGTTCAAGAAGGCAGTGCACACAGCAGGGGCCCTTTGGTTGATCTTCCAAGGTGAACTGCAGATGAAAATGTTGGATGAATGCTATAAAGTGGTGCTTGAGTCTTGGACATCAGTGACTGTTAAGCTTGGCAAGGGTAGCTTTTGACATGTTCAGAAAAGTAGAGCTGCAGGATTGGCGCAGATCTTATTTTCCCTGTTTCTTTTATCTCTACGCACAGGGCCACACGGTGTTTGGCCCCTAGTGGTTATTCGGTAACCATTTGATTCTGTATATGTTTGAGTGAACGGATGCCCCCGTACTGAAATATTAGAAGGTGAAGTATGTTGGAAAAAGAAGATAACGGCACAAACTGTTCTCCAGGTGAAGGGAATCTGGCTGTGGCCCATGCCAGCACTGGCCCTGAGGAATCAGAAAATGAAGACGACGGGTACGACGTCCCCAAGCCACCGATGCCCACAGTGCTGGCCCGCCGCACGCTCTCTGACATCTCCAACGCCAGCTCCTCCTTCGGCTGGTTGTCTCTGGATGGTGATCCCACAACGAGTGAGTCTCCAGGCTACTTTGGGTTTGTCCTGAAATGCTGTGTGGCTTCTTATTTATACTGAAACAGAGATGACTGCCTGGTGACAGTAAGTCAGTAGCTGGAAGGAGTGGACTGAAGTGGGAGGAAAGCTGGTCCTGGGTCCCAAAGTAGGAAGTTAAACTGTATTCAGGCTCTTGAGGATTTTGCCAGACTTAGAAATGAGGTTGTTCCTTAAACCCTGGCTCTTCCTGTGCTGGGGGTAAGTATTAATAGGATTTCTGGCTCTTTTGAGCGTGCTTGATGACAGTAGTAATTCATTTTGATGGTTCAGACCACACTTCTGGGCGCTGTCCCTGTCCCACTGGAAAGGAGGTGTGCCAGCTCTGGAAAGCACACTGAGTGGGCCTGGAGCCAGCCCGCATTTGAGCCTTGACTGTTAAGGACTGTTCTTCTTGCACCTGTGGCCGCCTGGGAGGGCAGCAGCCAGAGTTGCTGTCACTTTAGAAATGGAAGACAGCCTTCAGGACAGCTGGTGAAAAGGATACATGGCATCCAGTTGCCCAAACAGGCGGTGATCCCCACCCACCCAACCTTGTTTAATGCTTCTTCGCTGCAACCTAGGCTAATTTCTGTTTCCTTATTTGTATAGGGAGAAGTTTAGTGACTTCTCTGGCCCCTCAGAAGTGTTTTTTAACTAATTCAGGCAATGATGTGTGTGCTCAGTGTAAAGCGTGGTGCAGGTGCAGGTGTTCTGTGTGGAGGGCAGCGTGGTCCCTGTCGGTAGGACAGGCGCGTGGTGTCTTTAAAGGTTATTGTGCTGCGAGGGGAGGAGGCTGTAGACAGAAGCCCTTGAAACTGTAAAACCCCGCCTTGTGACCGCACGTGTACCTGATGGACAGTAGGTCCGTAATATCTCGTATTAGCACATTGTTATTAGATGAGGATTCCCGCCCCGCCCCGAGTTGCAAACATTCTCTTTCCTATTTCTTCCAGACTTCACTGAGGGTTCCCAAGTTCCTGAGAGGCCACCCAAACCGTTCCCTCGGAGAATCAACTCTGAACGAAAAGCAGGTAGCTGTCAGCAAAGCACCGCCGCCACCTCACCGCAGCTCTCCAGTGAGATTGAGAGCCTCATGAGTCAGGGATACTCCTACCAGGACATTCAGAAAGCTCTGGTCATTGCCCACAACAATATTGAAATGGCCAAAAACATCCTCCGGGAATTTGTTTCTATTTCTTCTCCTGCCCATGTAGCCACCTAGCACACCCCCTCCGTGACGCAGCTTAGAGGACCGAGGAGCCGGGAGCTCTTGCTCGAGTAGCACCTAAAAGGGCAGAGAGGTTCCTTTGGAGACTTCACAATGAGGTCTTGCCCTGTGTGGGATATCACATCTGTGGTTCCAAGATTTCAAAGCAGTGGAATGAGAATGGAGCAGCTAGGATGTTTTATTATTTTATTTTTTTGAGAGTGCATTTGAAGGTGTCCTTCAGTCCCTCCCCACTTGGAGAGTGTGGATTTTTATTAAATGGTAGCCTACCTGGGGAACGGTCCAGAAAGCAGTAGGAGAAGCACTGTGCTGTAAATCCTAATTGAGGACTTAAGACTTTCTTAGGTTAAGGATGTGGTTGTGTGCGTCTTGTCTGTCTGTCTGTCTGTCTGTGGTTGTGTGTGTCCTGTGATTATAAGATTTACCTGCTGTGTGTGTTAATCCCAGGCAGGGAATTAGCACAAGAGGTTTAAGAAGGACTCTTAAAGACTGCCATCAACTGTGGTTTTATACCCAGCCCCAGTGTGTATTACAACTCCAACACTCCCCTCTGGCTTGGATTATAATGTGCGTAGCTGAAGTCTTGTATTTTTAAAACACCTTCCTCTGTCCTTTCCTCAGTCTCCTCCTCCCTCCTCCTCCTTGGTGTCTTGTCATTGGCAGTGGGCTTGCTATGACCAGCCTTACTGAAACCGAGCAGCTTATAGGATGTTCTTTATTGTGTGTGATGGTGTCGATTTGTTTGGTAGATAGGTGGGAAAAAAGTACTGTTGCTCTATCATTATGGTCCTGTTTGATACTCGCAGCGAACACTGGTCACTCCAAAGCACTGTTTCTATAGGAACATTGAGTCTGTTTTGAAAAAGGTGTTTTAGTTATCCTAATTACATAGTGACTGATTTGAGATAGAGGCCTTCAGATACATTCCACGCCCTCCCCAGATAATAGTCTGTGGGAGTCAGTTGCCTTGGTGCCAGGTGTGTGTTCTGACGTAGGTCACGAGGTTTTCTACTTAGTGGGAAGGGAAAACATTTATTTCCAGCATGGCTTTCGGGCCCAAATACCATGAAGCTCTTAGGAAGCTCCATTCACGTGCTCTTTACCTTGTTGTACATAAAATGCACAAAACAGACAATAAAGATTTATCTCTTCAGTTTTTCTTCCCAGTGAATTTCAGCTTATATGGGTGTCTCCCTTCGAATATGAGCCAGGTTGTAGTTTCAGAGATGATTTTTTTTCTTTGCCCTTTAAGGAATGGGGGGAATACCACCCATGGTAGCACAGCATTCTGCTGATAATTAGCACCAACCCTACCTTGGTGCCACCCTTGCTTTTCTCTTGTGCCTGTGGCTTTGGGAATGTAACATTTCCTTCTTCCTTTCTTTTTCACGTTAGGTCCTATGTACTCTTTAGTGACTGCATTCCCCACAGTAATTAGACATCGCTGGGTGTAATAAATGACTTTACTGCGGACAGACAACATGTGAAAAGCCCTGCAGCTTGTGCCATCGCCAGTTTGTAAAGAAGACTTTGTAAAGTCTTGTGTGGGGCACCGTTGGTACGTTCCTGCAGATACCGCCAAGGCACCGCTTGAGTTCAGTTAGTTCTCTGGCCAGGGCCTCTTACTGACTTCCCTATAGCAGTGTGTAACCTTCCTCCTTGTCAGAAGCAAGCCTGCTCTTTGATAAATCTACCTTCCTCACAATCTAAATCATGGTTTTGTCATGAGATCCAAAGAGAAATGACTCTCCTTACACCTGTTTTCTTTCCCATCTTGTCGTCTTTGGACCTAAAACTTTATCTAACTCTTCTCTTGGCTTTCAGCTACTCCTAGGTCTTTTGATTTTCTCCTCTTGCCTCAGAGCCATTTATGTTCCCAGAGGAGATAGTTCAGGGCTTTTTGCTGACTTGCTCTGGTTACCCAGTGTCTCCTCTACGTGGCAGAAAATAATACAGCCCCCAACAGGTGCAGGAGGGCCTGAATCGCGATGGAGAGGGCAGAGGAAAGCGGCAGAGAGTAGGAAGCAGTAACTAGCATCTCCTTCTCAAAGCCAGCATAGTGTTTCACTTGTGGTAGCGTTCAGTTTTGCACTTTGTTTAGATGTTGAAGGCCTAGACAGAGAACTAGAGAAAATGGCAGCAGTTTGCATACCTCTCCACACTGGAATTTTTCCTTGTCTGTAGATGCTACCCATAGTCTGATGAAGATCTATCCAGAGGACAAAGCACTGGTTCTGCATATCTGCTGCCTTTTCAGAGTGCATCCCAAATCTTCTTTGAAGATTATGTCCTTACTTACATAGGCTAAAGGCAGGTTCATCCTTTCTTTTCATAACTGAATACCCTTGAGGCTCGTCAGGTCAGCCCCTAAACTAGGTGCCAGATCCCTGTGTTGAACGTGGGGATCTAGGTTGAACTAGGTGTGCACCATTGCATGGCTTGGTTCTTAGCTTGTCGGCCATGTATCTGCAGGTGTTCAGGGCCTTAGACCATTCTGTGAGGGGTTTTCTCTTTGGATGCTCTGAGGTCATGCCTGGGTCCATGCCTGAGATTGCCAGGTGTGGCTCAGGAAAGTTTTTGCATGGCTTTTGTTTTGAGGATATTTCCAAAACTTTTAATTTCTTAAATTTTCCTTTGACTAAGGCACCAATAACCCATTCTTCGTCCTCCATTTGTATGGCAATTTTTAATTCTTTGGCTCTGCTCTGATTTTAACTAAAATTGACCTTTCACAAGTGGGCTTTGAATTTCGCCATTTTCGGCAAACACATCCCCTTTCCCACTCTTAATTACAAATGGTTCCTCCTCTGTTACCTGTCAGGTAAGTAAGGTAAAAACCACTTTGATGTTTTCCTTTTTCTCAAGTGCACTAGGCTGTTCTGTTCAACCTGGTCTCCTGCTTCCCCATGTCTCCCTGGGTTGCTTTACATAGCCTGCCTTGTTGCTGGGTGCCTGCTTTGCAGTACTTAATCAGCTGCACTTGCTGTACTCCTTCCATTAAAGTCAGGAGTTATCAAAGTGGGAAAACCCTGTGGGCTCAATGATATACCTCCCTTTGGGTAAATAATAGATTAGGCAGTTTATCGTCTCAGCATTTGTGTGTTAGTATTTATATAAATAGTGATATATATCTGTGGATGGCCATTCTCTTCCACTAGCTCTCTCTGTCCCCCAGTGTCACTCTACATATCCTGCCATTCTTCTGTTCTTTTGCTTCCTATACAGACTCTCAACACCAGGACCCAGGGTGTGGGATGGTACTATTAGTATCATTTAGCTGTTTTGTGGATTTAAAAAAAAAAATTGCAGGGTTGCTATTCCTCACACTTAAAATATTTATTTCCTCTATAGAAAGGTAAAATATATTTTATGGTCCAGTCAGCAATCTTACACATGAATTTTTGTATATTTGCTTGCAAAATAGGGACCAGCTATATGTTCTCTTTAACAAGATGTAGACCTTTTTGTGTGTGATCAGCCATGGTGTTAGTGCAGAATATTCTCCTACCTCACATCATGAAAGGCGGAGGGATATAGGCCCTCTTCCCAAACTGTAAGTCCCCCTTCTTGCTGTTGGCCTTTCTGACTCTGCAGTGACCACTGCCCATGGAATAACGGTGTTCTGACTATTGGCTTGGCTCTAACATGGTGTTTGTTCATTCAGCAAGTGTTTATGAGTGATTACCGTGAGCCTGAAGTGTCAGCTCTGCATTCTCCCCTGCCACCATATGGTGGTTTACTGATGTTGAGCGGCTGTACTTGGGCTGTCTAGCATGTGCATTTGGCCCTAAAATAGCCGTTCCCAATAAGATTGTGTAGGTTATATTCACAGCTCTTTTATGTAGACATTTCCTTATAGAGCTGTCCTGGTTAAAAATCAGTTCAAGACACTCCCATTAACCCCTATTGTCTTCCTATAGCTTTGACAGTGTCTGGGGGATTCCTCCATGTAAGTCTCATGGATACCCACCATTTTTATGTGTTTAAGCAGAGTCTGTTTGGTGGTGGGTTGGTATGTTGGCTCAGAGTTGCACAATAGGGCAGTTAAATGTTTAAGTAAAGCATCTGCCTACAGACCCCTTTCCACTCTAGTGCCTTCCTTGATCTTTTTACTGAGCTGCCTGTACCTCTGATCCCCTTTATAAGGAAGTTTTCTTATCACCCTTCTGGGACCTCTCACCATCTCCCATTCTATATGGAACTTGTTTTCCAGTCCTTCAACAACCTTTCAGCTAATCCTGTGTCTTAGAAGGGCTGAAGGTGTGCGAGAGGGACGGGCACCTGTTTCTGGGTCCTGATCTTCAACCCGTTTTTTGGTCTCCCAAGAGCCAGGCAGTAGCATGGGTTGAACTCAGTCAGTTCTCAAAAACGTCAGCCTGTATCTCTAGGGGTGTGGAGCTTAGAGACCGTAGAACTTAGTATGAAAGTCAACACGTTATTATCCTCCTCGACTTTCAGGCCCTAGAAATTCTATCTAAAGTATTCTCAGTTGGCATAAAGCATTACTGTTTCTACTTTGATCTCAGTCTACATTAGCAGTCTCTCTGGAAATGCGTGTAGCCATTTAATGCGTGGAGGTGGATGCATAGTGGAAGAAGGTCAGGGCTGTATCTTTGACCGTCCTGTTGAGCGGTCCTTTGGATGCAAGAAACAGAAGGATTAAAGCAGAAGAAAGGAAGGAATCATAAGGATGCAGGGTATTTCCCAGAACCCAGGATAAGCGGTACGGTTGATTCTGCGTGGAGCTGAGAAACTTTGCAGCTAGTCCTTTCTCCTGCTCGTTGGTCTGTTTGTCGGTATGCATGGCCCCAACATAGGCACCCCAGTCCTCACGACCCCCAGCTCACCATTAAATGGGATCACGGTTTTAACAGATTCCCAGTGCCTCTCGGTTCATATTCTCAAGACAGACTGTGATCAGCCCAGCACATTGATCAGGTATGGAGCCCCGACTTTGCCACACGGGGCAGAAGCGGCATATATGCTACTTCAGGTGGGAAGTGGGGGCAGGGGGAGGTTCTCAGGGAGGAGGGGATAGATACCCTGAAATACTTTACTCTAGTAGTAGAACGTACCATACTGCTCTTTTGAGAGTGGAAAGGCAGGCATGGGACTATGTCTGGGACTTGGAGGAAATGCTTAGGTTAAAGTTAATTTAGGTTACTGTCTTCTTTGTTGCTTTATTTCCTGTTTTTCTTCCCTTTATGAGTCTTGGCATCCAAGATTTCTTACCTCCCTCTTTAGGACCAGTTTCTCCTGTTCCGGAGCTGATCTTTTCTTAGGTGACATTTCTTAGCCTTCATTCAGTCTCAGGTTTCTCGCCTTCTTTGATTTCACTTAGAGAGCAGGTCACAAATCCACTGTAGCCCCTACCCATGGACTTCTGGGCTCTCTTCAGGTTTTAGTGCTGAGAACATACTCATTCTATGGGCCCGTGGCCTGCCTCCCTCCAAGCCCTCCTCCCCACTCTTTTATCTGGTCTTTCCTCTATGAGGGGAGCTCTGCAGTAATATTCTTAGGCAGGCCTTCCGAGGTACCTCAGAAACTACTTTGCCAGTAAGAATTTATAAAGTTGGGACAGTTGCCAGGATATAAATTAGGTATAGATTCCAATTTAGAGAGACTTTTTACTGAGAGCTCTTTAGACAGGATGCATTTGTCCTCCCTGTCCAGTTGCTTCCTTTGTCGTCCTATAGTAAAGCCTTTATTTTTTGGTTTTTTAAAACTGTGCTTCTGCTTGCCTGAATCTTTTGATCTTATTTATCTCATCCGGGAGCCTGTCCTGTGTTATTAAGGCATTTCGTAATCACTTATAACTTTTTTAAACTACTGGAGTCATTTGATGTACACAGAAGTAACCTAATAATCCAAAGATATACACTGAGGCCCATGATGAAGGCTGGGGCCTGTGTGTTTGAAATTCCCGTCTAGGCGCCAGAATTAAGGGGCAGAGGTATAGCAGTGCCACACGCCTTCACAGAATTCTAGGAAATCTGGATTGGTTTCAAAGGCGAGCACCAGTTTTTCTTGGTTCCAGAAAGTAGCCCAGGAGTAAGTGGGGGAAATCGGGGTGGGCAGAGTGAGGCCTGCCCTGAGGCTTACTCGCAGTTGGCTGGAGAGCATGGTGCCAGAGGGCCAGCTGTTGACTAACAGACTAACAACTGTTTGGAGATCTCGCTGCCTCTTCCCTTGTTCAGTGCTTGAGAAGAATGTGGCTGACCACTCCCTGTGTTTGTAGAGAGCGGAGGCTGAAAGCGAACCTCAGGTCTCCTACTGATTTGGCAGTGGAACAAATCAGAGTTCTGATTGCCCGGCCCCATATTCTTATTCAGTCCCCAAAATGAATTTGTGAGGCGCTCTCCCGCAGTTCTCCTTCTACCCCCGGGCCAGTTTGGGAGGCCAGAGGAGTACTGCTCCGTACATGCTCTCTGAGCCTCCTCAGGCCTTGCGCTGCCTCCATGCTGAAGCCCTGAAGTGGGGTGTGCAGTGTGCCCACGCCCGGCACTCTGACATGGGTGCTGATGTGCCCTTTGTGTCAGTTCCCTCCGCCCTGTCTACCTCTGACCCTGTCCTGGGTGAGGGTGGCCATGCTTATGGCTGTCTGGAAACTGAAGAGCCAGAGAACTGCTTACAAGTCCGTAGACCACATGTTTTCTCTTCCTTGGCTTCTTCCTTCTGCTGTCTGGGTGAGTGAGCCGTGCCCATGAGAGTGGCCACCTCCTCTCCTGACCTGCCCTTCTCAGCACTGTTTTAGTGTCCTGGCCTTGACCGCCTGCTGAAACGTGTGGTAGGGGTGTGGCAGCTATGAGGTACCTCCTACATCTGCTTTCTGGCTGTGGTGACTTGGGATTTTTAACCTTATATATCTTTTTTTTCCTTTATTCAAAACAAAACAATTTTTAGCACACTGAAAAAAAAAAAAAGCCAAACATTTTGTGCCTTTCTAAGGCAGCACTGTATCCCAGGCTGCATTTTAGGACTTAATATGGAAATACCAGAGTCTTAGCTCCTCTACCTTGAGTGTCATTAGTCCCTCTGGTCTAGGGGAGAGGAAGTGCTCCGTGTGCCTGGGGAGGTGGCCCCCAGGTGCAGCGTGTCCGCGGTCCCTTCTCCCTGCCACGGTGCTTAGTTGGAAGAAATGAGCATTGTATCCCAGGATCATTTGGTTGGTTCCAGTCAGAATCTCAGTAATCAGGTTGAATGTTCTGTGT